GATTTCGACAAGACTGAAAGCGGACTGCTAATTGTATTCGACACCATAGCTGAGTCCTTTCGCCATATGCACGCTCCAATTGTTCCCACCTATTCATATATATTTGAGATGGATGGCACGCTCGGCATCCATAGCCGTAACAGGGACAGAGCGACTATTTATGTATGGGTGTTGCAGAACTACGAAAGCGAGGTTTGGGATTTCAAGTACAAGATTCAATTGCTGGTCACAGAAATTTGGAGGGAGTTTGAACCATGTGTTGGCCATTGGTATTGGGATGTGGACATTGTTTCGGGGGATGGTGACGTGCTCTTGCTTGTCAGATTTGGTTGGCATCTGCTTCATGTTGACAGTGATGGCAAGTTGATCAACAGTTTCAATCCTTTGTTTGGAGATGTCTATGTGTCTCGGTGTAGGCTCAAGCAAAGTCTTGTTAAGCATACCTTTTTTCCGTCTCTAGAAGGTTATGCTGTGAATGCTTTGCCTTTTGTCTGACGGCTGTTGCTTGAGGTGGCAATTCTTAACGGCCTACCTATTGTTTCCTTATGAAGTTATGAGCTGGAATATCTTTGAATTAGATAAACTACGAGGCTGCTGTCCTCTTCTTTTTTTGCATCGACGTACACATTTTATGATCTGTACTAGCTCTGACCGTTATGTGGTCAGATGAAATCTATGCTTGCCCGGTACCCTTTTGGACTAAAGTGACTCATGCTGTGTTGAATGCTCAGCTTTTAAAATATTTGCCAACTGATCCGCCTCATATGTCTATTTTCTGGGGCTGGGGAATTGGCTTTGCTTTATTGTAATCATACAGTGGTCCTCAATATATTGGGCCGGGGAAGTGGCTTTGCTTATTTTAATTATTTAGTGGTCTTCTTAGTACTCAATTGGGGGAATTAGCTTGGCATTATTTTAGTTATCTAGTGGTCTTCTTAGTATTCAATTGTCAGCAATTTATACGGTATATGTTTCATATCCCTCTTCTTTGAACCGACGAATTGACCTTACCTTTTTATCTAGTTGTCTTCTTAATACTCCCTACGTCCCAAAATAAGCGTCTCAACTTTGTACTAACTTTAGTACAAAATTGTACTAAGCTTAAGACACTTATTTTAAGACGGAGGAAGTAATTGATATATAGAGTGTTCCCTGTTTCTACCCTTTCTTGTAGCTGAGTAGCTGAGGATGCAAAGAGGCAGATTTTCCTGTTTGTTGACTTGCAAGCTGCGTCTGATTTTTAGAAGACCTTGGAACACTTAGTCATTAGGTCACGTAGGAGTCAACTTCTCAATGGAACCTTATGTCATAAATTCATAATTCGTCATTCTTTATGAATCAATTGCATCTGGTTAGGTAGGTATTATGGGGATCCGGCTTGCCTGCTCCCTCTCTGTGCTCCCATCCGTGCTCCCACTTCATCCTACGGCTGTTTTTTTTTCTTTTTTCTTTCTAATCTAATAATCTCCCCCCCCCCTCTGATTTTAAAGGGGTGGGCCGGGCCTTATTTTGTTCCAATCAAATCAAGCCAGGTAGACAGGAGCACGGATGGGCACACGACGGGGGAGCAGGCAAGTCTCGTCCGTATTATGGAGACTAATAAGGTCATCATTATAGCAAGAATTGTACTCCCTCCGTCCCAACATAAAGATTTAGTACAAAGTAGTACAACTTTGTACTGAATCCGCGGAACTTATTTCAGGACTGAGGGAGTACATAGTTGTATTTGTCTCGTTCCGAGGAGTTTTAAATTTTAATATTCTTGTAGGACATAAACTGGTACTGCAATCTGAAAATTTATGAATACCTTTTTGTTCTTCCGCATGGACACCGTTTTTAATTATGTTGCACTGCTTGGAACGAGCTCTTGTATCATTTCCCTTTGTCTGCCAACTATTTTAAGGATTAATAATGCTTCATGCAGCGCACGTTCTGAACAAAAGTTCGAGAAGTAAAATTTGCACTATTAAATACAAAGAGTTTTGCCATGGTGTTGCTGTTGCACATTGTGTTCATGTCTTAAGCAGGGCAACACCATGCCAGTTATGTGATTGTACAGCTGTAGAAGTAAGTTGAAAGTCACTCTGATCACACCCGCATCAGATTGAAAGTAAGTTCATCATCCAAATTAATTGATCCAGTTGAAATTCTCTTCATCTTAAACCGTCTGATGTGCTCTTTGGTGCAAAACACGCATGCAGCTGTACCAGAGCTCATGGTCGATACAAAGGAGCGAACTGAATAGTAGTCGCCTCAGTTTGGTGCCATGTGTATGCTCAAACTTGCCCTTATAGGGCAAGAGAATTCATAGTAGTCTGAATATAGACCAGTGTGGGTGAGATTGAGTTGTCCATAGAACGGCAGGTGCATGCATAGTTACTGGTTCCCACACTACTGTACATCTATAATTTCTTCACCTCGAACTGCTGCATCAGTTCTTGGTTCATTCTCTGAAGAAGGATTGCACCTTGGTGGAGTTCTTGAGAAGCTATAGTTAGCACTGGACAGCAGCTTCTATTGCTGGAATGGATCTGCGTAGGCCTGGAGGATCAGGTTGGGGAGGCCCTGGAGGCCTGGAGGATCAGGTTGGCACCAGCTGGAGGGCCTGGATTTCCAGGTCGCCCTGGCCTTTTGGGATCCTGATAAGTTTAATCATCAGCTAATTAGTGGGACTTCACCTAATTTTTTTAACTAATGGGACTTTATACATTGCATCTGTCCTCTGGCATTGTCAATTCATTCAGTGCACAACTGTCAAAATTTCATATTCAGTTCACATCTACATTTCATCCAGTTAGATGATTGCTGGTTGAGGGGTCAATTAAATCAAAGTGGAATATATAAGCGATGACACAAACATTAGTCACTTAGGTTTTCTCTTCAAAGCGTTCTTTCTCTGTTTCTTTCCGCTGCTAACAAATTTACTCTTGTTTCTCTTTGTCAAAAGTCAAAACACATCCAGAGTGCACTTATGCCGTCCATCTAATGCTTGAACAGTCCCATCGCCATCACCTGGCCAACTAGCCAGGTCGCGGAGATGTGAATGTGATTGGTGTCGGGCAGGTACTACATAGTGCATTATGCCTCGATGTTTCTCACCTATGTATCGATGGAAATTAACTTTTGCTTCAACCTTTGCTAGTGTGCGCTTCTTTTCTAGTACATGTACATGCATTTTGCTTCAGCCATCGCATCTACCAGCTTCAACCATTCACAATGCTGCTTCTTTCAGCCGACTTAAGTTTCGTCTAATGTCAATGTGTCCTTCATTGTTTCTGACGAATTCTTTTTTTACGGATAGATTGCTCCATCAGATTCAGATCATGCTTCATTGTTTCTGATACTCTTGAGTGGTTTATCGAGTTTTTATCTTGAAATGCTATAAATGTGGTTTAATGCCACTTAAAAAACCTTGCACCTGTTGCGTACTTAAAATCGCATATGTCAATAGTAATCCTGAAACTCTCTTGAGTGTGGAGGGAAGCACGATTATCACATTTCAAATTGGTGTTATGATAATTTGCATTTGTAAATTAGTTCAGTGAGAACATGATTCTTACAAATATCAGGAGAGTTGGATAGTTAATTAACTTCAGAGCATTGATGATGCCACTGATTCTGTTTTCTTGGTTCTGCTGCAGGGGAATATCCTGATGATATTAGCAACAATCCAAGCTCAGAAGGTGGCTGAAGACAGGGTTAGAGGATGCAAGGATTAATGATCTGCTGAGAATGCCTGAATTGGAAATGCAGTCTGCGTGATCAGATGAGCAATCTTTTCGCATTGCATTAGACAACTCATCAACTAAATCATCACCCCAACGATTCAGCCAAACACGCAACATGACAAAGGGCGCGACATGGCATCCCGACTTCTAACGCTTGGTACTGGTGCCATGGTTTAGTGTCATCATAAGAGCTCGATGCGTAGAAATTTGATACAATTTATTCTTGCTTTCTTCACTATACGTGGAGCACTGTTGTCGGTCAGATAAATTTTTTGTCCCGATGGTCACTTGTAGCTTATAAAACTAACTTGATGTAAACTGTTGCCTTGAACTCATTTCCCCTGTATAAACAGGAATTAATCTTGTGACGTTATCTCAGTTTCACTTGAAATATCAGCCTCTGTTAGTGTTACATGCCATGCATATGAACACTGCATCTAGCCTGAATCTAGAGGAACTTTAGGCAAAAATACACTTTGGATTGAAGGACGAAGAACTTTATGCAAAAATACACTTTGAACCAAGGGGACACTGGTTAGTTTATTTTGACCTTAGAAAGAGCAAACATTTCAGTAATTCCACAGTAGGGACAATTTTATATTTCTTATTCACATCGACTGCAGTTAATTTTTCTGCAGTGCTTACGCAGAGATTACCTTTATGAAAAATAATAAGCCATCCCTAGAGTACTGGCAGAAGACATTATATTATCATCTGCTTCTCATTGAAACATCAAAGGCACATAACAATACTCAGTTCCACCAGCACAAAATCTGCAACATCCATCTGGTGCCAAGCAAGCATACATCCAGCAAGATCAAATGGCGCGGATAAGATTCATATATGAAACAAACAATGACTTATTAGTCTAGCACAGCAGACCAAGCAAAGTTTTAAATAGCGCGCTAAGCCTCTTAGCGGTACGGTGGACCTCAGCTAAATGCTATAGCGTGCTATAGCGGAGCTATAGCGAGCTATTTAAAATGTTTGCTCAAGTGTTTGAACAAAAGACTCTTAGCGCGGGGCCTTTTCTAAACGCTATAGCGGAGCTATAGCGGGCTATTTAAAACCATGAGACCAAGTCACCCTTCACCAAGATAGAGACAAACTGAAGCATTATTTGTTGACAGGCACATCCATGGATGTTCGCTTGGAAGTAACAGCAGTGTCCAGGATCACCATTTTTAGAGCCCTTTCTGGCCGTATTTGAAATTCAAATGCATCCAAGTATCCATCTCTACGGCAATCATGGATCTTCTTAAGCCACATTACTCAAAAAACAGCAGACCAAGTCACCTTCACTGAGATAAAGGCAGGCTTAAGTTTTATTTGTCGACAGGCACGTCCATGGATGCTCGCTTTGAAGTAGCAGCAGCGTTCAAGCTCACCATTTTTAGAGCCTTCTTGACCATATTTGAACTTTAGATGCATCGGAGTATCCTTTGTTACGGAAATCACACGTCTTCTTAAGCTACATGACTCGCCAATAGTGCCAGGAAAGAGCTCAATTCTGTGAGGTGACCCACGGATAAACACGAACGAACTGAGAGACAAATTGAATCCACTCTGCAGTTTTGATACGTTAACCTCTATTGTTGCCTCCACTGCCCTGTACAACATTGCTAAAGTGATGTCAACTGCACCACAATCCCCATGAATGCGATTCGTGAATGGCGTGCAAGGCATGGTTAGATTGCAGTAGTCTGCTACCCCGTCAACTAATTGTAAATCATCTTCTTCTTGCTCTCCTATCTTAATCCTCATGTCAAACTCTATTAGAACAGAGGAAGTCATTGAGATGCCTCGCTTAGGTCCAGTCATCTCAATGAGAGAACCCTGCAAGATTATTATTAAGTAGCTCCTCATGGTAACACCAGAATTATCTAAAGCTTATACTTCTCCTATAGCCAATTGGAAATGGAACTCAAATAAATGAAAAAAATTATTTCTATTCACAAAAAACTAAAATAATGTGAGTTTTTTCACCATAAACATAAGTCGGTTGCACATGACACTTAACATTGCTAAACCAAACATAATTAACCATAAACATGCTACATATATGCAAAAGGACAAACTCATCTTGGTATAACATCCTCCAACCACACACATATTTGCATACAAGAATCCACGAAAATAAAATCCATAAAATAGAGCCAGCATCACCAACACCTCAAATGTTTATAGGAGTAATTGTCTTACAAGAATTAAGGGTCCAAAATTATCCGACTTGATATTAATTAAATACATATTAGTCTATTACTGGTTAATAGATCACTAAATTACACACTATAGTTCCAGTAGTAAGTTTCGTCTAACTAATTGTAATTCCACAACATGATTCTCCAATTGGTAACATAGTGGACAAATAATAGTTATTTTCACAATTTCGGTATGACACTTTTTAATAGAGTTAAGCACATGGAAGAAGATATGCAACCATAACACAAAAATATTATTAAATAGGTAAAAATCAATGCATTATGAAATACTTATTTAAAGAACGACAATAAAAATAAACTAAGCATGTGTTATTTATTAAGAACTAAGAACATCACAACAAAACTAAGAACATAATTAATAGTATTTTCATTACATATACCAATCCACATGAGATAAAAGATATTAAGCATGTACAATATTCCACCTTCGATCCCAACTTTAATGATTAAAAAGAGATGAAGTACTTGAAGTATATACCCAAACAATGTTTATATTTCGATCCATTTTGTGCAATGCATGTGATGGGATTGAACTTACAAATTAAAATAAATGAATTATTTCAAACAATTTGTGCAAGTAAAGATATGCACCTGTCGCATAATGATGGGATCATCCCTGCTATGATTAATAACATAATTAAGCAATTGATCTTGACAATCCCGCACTGCTATGTATCCATATAGTTGTATGGAGTCCATGTTAGTAGAAATTCTAGCCAACTTTAATGAGAAAATTTGCATCATGCAACTAGTATAATGCACACAACACCTTGCCCTATCAGGCCAGCAATCTGTGGGTTCTGTTATCATCATTGGCTCCAGTTGTGCTTCACCAAAAAAACATCTGTATTAATAAACAATAAGGTAAACACATCAAAATATCCTCCTCTCCCATTTCCAGTTTGGTATGAATACATGAGTTTACATGAGACTTATTTATTAATGTGAACTCTAAAAAATTGCTAGGACAAAATGCATTATACACTCTTAGTAATAAAGAAAACTATGAATTGGCACCAACTGTAACAACATTGTTGCAGATTGAGATGGCTATAATACAAACACTAATTGTGCATATACATAACTAAGCATGTTGTAGATAGCTAACCTTTTGGCTATACGTATTAGCATATACTGCTCACACAAAAATCAAACCACTAGCATAGACACTGGACACTAGTAGCAATTATCTTTCATAAGGATGATGTTCCTGATAAGTTCACCAAACAGGGACTTGATCCTGGTGAAAAACATAGCTCTTATTACCCTGGTAATAGGCATGCTAGAGCTTGTGATGAGTGCAGTGAGCCTGAAGGGCTGCCTGACTCTAATGACTTGTTAGATCCACCTATTACCCCTGAAGTGCTAAAAGGGATTCCTTCTATGTTAGATGATCATAGTATGATCTGGTCTAAAATCTCTAAATATGGACGGGGCAAGCACCCCAGGAAAGCCTTTTCAAAATGAATTGCCTTTCTGGAATATTAGAGGGATCACCACCCCTGGCAAAAAAACATGCATCTTGGATATGATTGCCAAGATTAACCCTAGTATTATTGCTTTCCAGGAGACAAAGAAAGAGCAGCTTTCTACAGTTTTCCTTAAATCTATTAGTGGTAATAAGAATTTTTACCTTGCAACATTTGCCTGCTATTGGCGTCTCTGGGGTCATCCTAGTAGGTGCTGATAGTGATATCTTTGATATAGTTGACTGGACTTCTCTTAGATTTTCTATTTCATGTAACTTAGAGATTAGAGCTTGTGGTAAAATCTTAGATTCATTGTTACAGGACGGCGGTTCGACCCGCAATGTTGTATGGCGCGGAGTGTTGGCCGACTAAAAGGCGACATGTTCAACAATTAGGTGTAGCGGAGATGCGTATGTTGAGATGGATGTATGGCCACACGAGGAAGGATCGAGTCCGGAATGATGATATACGAGATAGAGTTGGGGTAGCACCAATTGAGGAGAAGCTTGTCCAACATCGTCTGAGATGGTTTGGGCATATTCAGCGAAGGCCTCCAGAAGCTCCAGTGCATAGCGGACTAAAGGCTTTGTTTGGGACTAAAGGCTTTGTTGTTGTTGTTGTTGTTGTTGTTGTTGTATATGGGTCTCCCTATGATGAGGGCAAGCATGACCTCATTTCTGAATTACATAGTTTGTTCATTGATGATCACCAACCAACTCTGCTTGGGGGTGACTTCAACCTAGTTATATATCAGAAGGATAAAAGTAATGGTAATATCAACCACTCCTGGATTGACAAGCTTAATGCCTGGGCTGAAATCTGGATTCTATTAGAGATCAGAATGCCAGGAAGGCAATTTACCTAGGCAAATAACCAGGAGAACTTGATCATGTCTACCATAGATAGAATTTTTTGCACTATTGAACCAGATGCCATTTTTCCTTTAAGCAACTCTCAAGCCCTTCCTA